AGTAATTGGGATGGTTGTGTCAGAGGCGGTGCGGTTGGCGCAGGATAGAGCAGGGTTTAGGGCTGTTGTGCATAGGGTCGCTATGAGTCGCAAACAACTCGACGGCACATAACAACAACAACAACAATCAGAAGGAGATTGTGCACAATATGTTATTATTTTTTTCTTGCTTATTTGTCAAAAGCCTTTTGTCTTAATTTCTGGGAACTCAGATCTCCTCCTTTTTCGGGCCCGGTAAGATAAATCTTAATGTTTCTACTTTCTTCCTGTAACTGGCCCATATGGGCTCTATGATGTAACCCTTAAAGTATCTATTTCTCTGTGAACCTTCTCTTTGTTTCTAAAAGATATAAACAAGGATAAGACTACTGCCTGGGTGTTGGCCGATCTTTTTCATCCCACCTGGTGGTTTTCTGTACTGCTTTGTTTAAGTAAGTTGTTTGTCTCTTGTGTCTTTATTTACTCCTTTCTTCCAGGCTTCACCTCCCAAGATAAGTAGAATAAGTGGTCCCCAACACCCCAGATAGAGAGAACCAGGAGAAAGATGTTGATGTGGAGTTATTTGAACAGCTACAGAAGAAAATGAAAATGATGGAAGAAACAACAGAAATCATTAAAGGAACAAACACCATAGAGACAGCAATCTAGAAAAAAACATACTGATGAGGAGCAACTTGAACAGTTACAGAAGAACATGCAAGAAATAGAGTTGATAGTATAGATTAAGAGGTAAAAGAACTTGAAAATGTTCACAAGATAGAGAGGATACAGCCAATATGGTAATGGGAATAACAAAAGAGCATGAAAATGCAATTCAAGATATTGAGACAGAAGTGGCAGAAATGTCCAACACAGTGGCAGTACAAAAAAGTATAACTGAACAGATGAAACAGAGAGTCAGTGAGCTGGAAGACAATAACCTCACTGAAAAGCTACTAGAAAAAATATCAGAGATGAGATGTAAAGAAAATTAAGAAAACATTAGAATCATGTGGGACATGACATCAAAAGGAACAGCATACATATGACTGGAATTCCAGAACATGGGAGTGACAGGGGAATTCCTGAGAAAATTATGGAAGAAGTACTAGAAGAAAACTTCTCTGGTATTTTGAAGAATGAGAAAAATCCATATTCAAGCAGCACAATGAACTCTAAATAGAATAGACCCAAAAAGAAAAGCATCAAGACCTATCATAGTCAAATCCTCCAAATTAAAAGGTAAAGATTGACTATTAAAAGCAGCATGAGAAAAATAAAGAATCACCTACAAAGGAGAAACAATTAGATTACGTTCTGATTTCTCAGTAGAAACCATTTGAGCTAGAAGATAATGGGATGGCATATACAGAAAGTTGAAAGAAAACAATTGCCAGTCAAGAATTCTATACCCAGCAAAGTTCTCCATCAAATATGAAGGAGAAATTCAATCCTTTGCAGAAAAGGAGGAACTTAGGAATTTGTGAAAACAAGACCAAAATTACAAGAAATTTTAAGTGAAGTTCTTCACATGAAGATACCAAAGGAAAGCGCATGGGCTATAGTACCAGAAACAACAGAAAAATAAACCCAGCAAAATTGCAAAAGTAAAACCTGGCCTGACAATAATTGTACTTAATGTGAATGGACTAAATGCACCAACTAAGAGAAAAAGAATATAGCATAATGGATTAAAAAAACCAAAGTCCATCAATATGTTGCCTACAAGAAACACATATAAAAAAGGAAAAGAAAGACAAACTCAAAATAAAGGCTGGGAAAAAATATACTGAGCAAATGACAACCTCACAAAAGCAGTAGTGGCTACAGTAAGGTCAGGTAAAATAGACTTCAGAATGAAAACCACCATAAAAGATAAGGAAAGTCATTAAATAAGGCACAATAGATCAAAAAGACATAACCTTGGCCAACATTTACACACCAAATGATAGACCTGAAATGTACATAAAACAACTGTTAACAGAATTGAAGAAAGAAATAGACAATGCCATAATAGTGGTAGGAGACTTCAACACACCAATATCACCAAAAGATCAGTCAACTCAAAAGACACTTAACAAAGATGCAGAAGAGCTAAACTATACAATTAGCTAACTTGACCTTGTGGATATATTCACGGTACTGCACTCAACTAAAGCTCAATTTAGTTTCTTTTCAAGTGCACATTGTACATTCTCCAGAACTGATCACATATTAGGACACAAAGTAAGCCTCAACAAATTAAAAACATTGAAATAATGCAAAGTATCTTCTCAGGTCACAATGTCATAAAACTAGAAATTAACCACCAGAGATTAAAGCTTACAAACTCATCCATGTGGAAACTGGATAACTATCTACACAATTTGGTTACATAAAAAAGTTTACAGAATCCTACAGGGCCTCCACAAGAAAAAGACTGATAACGCAACTACAAAATGGGCAAAAGACGTGAAAAAATTTTCACAGAGGAAGATATTCAGATGACCAACAGACACATGAAGGAGTGCTCTAAATCACTAGCAATAAGAGAGATGCAAATCAAAATCACAATGAGATACCATCTCATTCTAGTAGCAGTGGCAAAGTTTAACAGGATGGCAAATAACAAATGTTAGAGAGAATGTGGTGAGATAGGAACTCTTATACATTATTGATGGGATTGTAAAATGGTACAACCATTCTGGAAGGCAGTTTGTTGTTTCCTCAGAACGTTGAACATAGAAATTCCATATCACCCATCTATTCCGTTGTTTGGAATATAACCCAAGAAAGTGAGAACTGGGGCACAAATGGAGACTGCACACTAATGTTCATAGCAGCATTATTCATCATTGCAAGAACCTTGAAACAGTCAAAATGTCCAACCACAATGAAGAGACTCAGAAATTATGATATATTCACATGATGGAATATTACACAGCACACAAAGTAAATGATTTTGTAAATCACTGGCTAACTTGGGAAGTACTGAAGAGCATTATGTTACGTGAACTAACTTATTCCCATAAAGACAAATACTATATAAGACCATTATTATAGAATGTGTATGAGGATCCAAGGGGAGGGATGATGGGAGCAGAGTGATGAAGATGAGTGGTGACCTGGTGTGAGGTGGGTGTGGGAGGTTGGTAGGGTTAATCTAGGTTGTTAGAATTTGATGGGTGGAGAGAGGGGTAGGTGAGGAGAATGGGAAAGATCTGGTATGTGTGAGTTTTGAAAGTAAACCAATACAAAAGAATTTTTTTTAAAAAAAAAAACAAAGCAAAAGAAGAAAGAACTGGGGAGGAGGGTAGAGAAAATAGTGCAACAATGAATGAATGAAAACACAAAATCTCTGTAAATGTTCATTAAAAGTAATAAAATTTTATAATTAAATAAAACAAAGCAAAAAAAAAACCCAATGGAATATAATTTTACACCAATAAGAATCTCTGGTGGAATAGTTCATAGGGAGTTGTGCAATTAACTCAAAAGTAGCACCACTCTGCCAGTCCAGATCCACCAAACACTCCTAAGAAGAAAGATGGGCAATCTTCTTCTGTGCAATTTACAGCCTTTCCTGAAAACTCACTGAAGGGGCACCTCTAAGTTGGTTCCTACTTTATGGCTATGGGAGAGAGAAAGGGCAATAGCAGAGCTCAACAAGTTAGTAAGCAATAAATGCTGACAAGGGCATGGAGAGACTGAAATTCTCATTCACTCCTGGTGAGAAGGGGAAATGATGCCACCACTGTGGTTTCTTGTTAGTATTTGAAAAACTATAATTTATAAACCTCCTGAGGGAGGTCGGGTTGCTTAGTGGTAAGGAATTGTGCTGCTATCACAAAGGTATGTCATTAGAATCCACCAGCTGCTCTTCAGAATAAAGATGGGCAATCTTCTCCTGTGCAATTAACTTCCTCTGAAAACCCACCAGAGGATCAGCTATGGGTTGTTTGCCACTTCACGGTACACAATACCAACCTGAGGTGTATACTTACAGAGACTTGAGATTGGTAATGTAATCAAATTGATTTCTTTCCATTTTCTGGACTGGGTTAAAGGAAATGTTTCTGTTTTTTTTTTATAAAAAAAAAGAGAGAGAGAGAGAGAGAGAGAGTCAGCAAAAGCCATTGTTAGGAAATAGTTGAGTGAAGAGAAGAGGAACTATTGACTTGACTTTGTAATTATTATTATTATTA